CTACCAGGCAGTTCGCCCCCAGGCAGTTCGCCACCAGGTAGCTCGCCACCAGGTAGTTCGCCACCAGGCAGTTCGCCACCAGGGAGCACTACCAGGCAGTTCGCCATCAGGCAGTTCGCCACCAGACCGCCATCAAGCAGTTTGTCACCAAGTAGTTCTCCCGCAGGGAGTTCGCCACCAAGTAGCTCATCACCAGGGAGCATCACCAGGTCAAACACGAGGTACTTAGCCAAAAAATTTATACATCACAAAAAATGGTACGTGACCAAAAACGGCTACATCATTAACCAACAAGAAATTCTCTGTCTTCAAATCCCTATGCATAACCCTAAGCGAATGGTAGGCTTCAACAACCCCAACGATAATAATATGGCCATTTCAGTTAACTTCAATGGAGAAGACAATGAACAGTACAAAAGGGTAATTTGGGCATTTAGAAAACTTTAAACAGTTGGATTTTTTTTGAATTTAACTGACAGAATGCCAACAGAAGGGGGTCTTTGTCTAATGGCTAAAGTTTAGGGGGGTCTTCGTTGCAAAAAAAAAGTACAGGGGGGACTTTGTCACTGACCCCATAGTACAAGGAGGGTCTTTGTAATTACCCTTGTTTAAAAGATGAAGATACCCTTACTTGAAAACCAATCAGAATGAAGGTTTTCACTGTTTCAACGCTATTATACCACAAAATTCAGCCATCATTATCAGTTGTGCCAAATGCACTTCAGAATGTCAGTGTTATTTGGTGTTTTTTGTAGGAAAATATAATTAGTTGGCATTTAAAAATCCATGATAGAAAGGTTCTCATAGCAAGGCTGTTAGCCACTGTTGTCTTTCCAAGTCAACATCTAAATGGTATTTAAATTAACCACAGAAATCTAAAAACAAGGCAGCTATTAAGCCTTATTAAACATAGAGGCTATGAGCACGAGAAAACCATAAAATGAGGCATATCATGGTATTTTCCTATTAATTAATTAAGGGAACTCTGTCCATCCAAAGAGGTTAAAGTGGGTATATTCTCTTGTAGATGAACAGGAAATGGACATAAGGCCCAAGTTTGGAAACTGGAACTCCGGGAACCTATGACACCCATATAACCATACAAGTTCATGTATATACTTCAATCTTTTGAGCATAAATTTCATATGTAAAAGATGACTCTTAGGCTTCAGCATCAGAAAGCCTTTGAATGGCAATAGTAGAAATATATGATTGCCATTCTAATATTATGGTCCATAGTCCCATGAACACGCCTGAAGCCTTCTACAAGGTTTCAACTTGTAGAAGGTATATGGGATCTCTCCCACAACGCCACACTCACCTTCCTTCCCTCCTCTCTCCCAGTAATCCATACCTGCAGGAAGTAGGTGATGAATCATGCAGAATGCTTAAGTGATACGGAAAGGAGTAAATGCTCCTTTAGATACTAGAATCTTTATCAGTTCAGAAATTTGAGCATAACCAAGCAAATCTTTACATTGTAGCATCACTTTCCTATAATCCACCAGATAAAATTTTAAAAATTCAGTTTGATGTCTCGAGTGCCATCCTACTAGCATTACAAATCCCATTTAGAGTTGTATGCAACAATGCACCATCCACCCCGTGTAGACCTTGTCAATAACTGGGTGTGAAAGCTATGAAGCCTACAATGTCAAGAATCGAAGTAAATGGTAAGTTTCTAGTTGTTGGGAGCTTCTTCTTTGTTATCTGTGTAGGAGGGTCTTCATTTTTGTAAGATGAACCCATTGGTCATTCCTAACCTGATAAGACACTGATGAACAATGAGATATGATGCTATCAGGGTGTTACTTAATAAATTTCCACAAAAGGGTGACTCGTTTCATCATCTGATAAGTGATAATATAACCCAGACAACAGATAAGGAGTGATCCAATGCCAATGCTATTTTTCTTTTCAATTTTTTCCCCTTTCTCGGATCTCAAACTTCCCGAATTCAAAGGAATCCAGCAAGCATGAAATCCCTGCACTCGGTTTCAACTTCCCAATAACGCCCAATAACGTAAAGCCACCCCGAATCATTCATTTCCTGTGCTATTCCACAAAAAACCAAATGCGCCGATATTCGTTTACCAAAGTATAGTTAAAACGAACTCTGAATCTTATTCCTTTTTCTTGATAAAATAGTAAATAACAGTAGAAAATAGCCAAACAGCGCTGAAACCATGAAGCAAGATTTAAAAAAAAAAAAACAAACAAACAAACAAAAAGGAACCGAGTATAGTCCAGAATTCCGTCCATATAGGAACCTATATGCTATTGCCAAATTGGAAATACTAGTGAAAAACTCACAGCTATAAGTAATGAAATAATAAGCATCAAAAAGTTCAAGAGTAACAAGAATAGGGAATGAAGTAAGGAACCAGCGCAGTCGAAGTGACGGTATCCAATTTTGATGGCGTTGATGATAAGGTCTCTCATGGATTTTTCTTCCATGCGCCAGACACCAAGGCCGATTATTGGCATCTTGAAGCCATTGTTGAGGGTGATTGCCATTGAACTGGGCTCTATTTCTCTTAGAAGCTCAGTGCCTATGCAATGTCACAGACTCACAGTCTCACAGACAGGAGTGGCTTGTGGATAAAGATGGGGGATGGACGTCACTTTACCCTTTCAATAATTGAGACTTCGAATGAGCACAAATTTCTGGTCGACCCATCCAGTCGTCCACCAAGCAGAACAAATACATCCAAAATATCCCTCCACTGGAATATTTAATATTTTGCAAGAATCTCCGCTCAACGGTTAGCATCCGACCAGCTTTTAATGTAATCAAAATTGTAATCGTCTAGGGGTGGATTCGATATTTGAGCTTAGCTCGCAGTAATAGTATCATGTTCGAGTTCAACCTCAATTAGAGTTAGAGATTTGAACTCGAGTTTAAGCTCGAGATCGGCTTAGTTCATAGTTTGTAAGTTTGAATTTGATCAGTTTGGTTTGAGTTCGACTATAAGTTAAGTTTTTTTAAAAATAAAAATTATATGTATAAAATTATTTTTTAATTTTTAAATAATAAATTAAGAATTATAAAAGTTATTTAATATTACATATACAAAAATATTTTTATTTAATATACAAAAAAATAAGATTTATAAAAATTATTTACTACTATACGTAAAAAATAAAATTATTATTATAGATAATAAAATTATTTATTATACATATGTATGTATAATATATATATATATATATATTAAAAATTATTTATTTAATACTAGACTCACAAGTTGAGCTTCATTGGGCTCGAGCTCAGCTCGATTAGCAAACAAGCCTATATATCGGACTTGAATTAAACTCGAAACTTGGTTTAAACTAAGTTGAGTCGAGCTCAAATAGCTCGTGAAAGGCTCAACTCGTGGCCACCCCTATTGTCTAGACACTTTTTGCTATAGCATGGAGTGCAATGTTCCCAAATAATCGTGTTAAGCATGTGTGTGTGTGTGATTTTAAGGCTCCTGTCCTTAATAAGTAAGTTACAGGTGCAATTTGAACAGGTTGGACCAAGTTTAAGGTCAATTCAAGCCCAATCTTATTACTAAATAAGGCTCATGCCTGAGAATTGGATATTACATTGACGCCCCACATGCATTGGGAACATATTCCTGTATTTGTCATGGGGAGATGTTGTGTTGTAGGCCACTTGTGGGGCGCTCCATCTGATCTTTGAGAATTGAGATTTCTTATCTACAATAATCCTACCCTCATGACACTATAGTTGTACATTGGGAGCATGTCCCTATGAGTGTGGGTAACATGTAAGTACAATAAATGCTCTCAATGTACAATTGTAATGAAGTGTCGATAGGTGTGTGTGTGTAGGGTTCTTGTGAATAGGAGATCCGAATTCCATGCCTAAGCCTGGATAAAGACCAATGTCAAGTCTAATTAAACTTGGATCAGGTTCAATTCCTAAACCTATTTAAAATTAGTAACATAAATTATTTTTGGGTAAATTATAAAGACCCCCTGTACTATGGGGTTAGAGTTTCACTTACAACAAAGACCCCCCCCCTCTACTATATGGTTAGTGACAATTATTCCTCTAAACTTTCACTTTGTGACAAATACCTCTCCCCCCCCCTAGAATTCTACCAACTAACTTCAAAAAAGATTAAACAAATTTTTAAATCTCCAAATTACTCTTATTTATTTGAACTTTCGTATGATTTTTCTTAATTTAAAGGGGTGGATAATTTTTATATATTTAAGATGAAGAGAGGCATTCATGTTAGTGAAATGAAACAATAATTTAAAGAAACTTGTATTTTTGACATGAAATGATTCTTATTGTTGTAGCTGGTTTCCTTTGGAGAAAATGGAGGTATTTTGGGGTCAATTAGGGTTTAAGAGAAAAAAGGGTGAGGAAGAGAAAATAAGAATAATTCATGTGGGTATTTTGGTAAATCAATGCATCTCATTGTTTGACTTAATGGCCAAGGGTATTTGTCTCAAAGTGAAAGTTTAAGGGGTCATTGTTGCAAACGAAAGTCCATGGGGGCAATTGTCATTAACCCCATAGTACAAGGGGTCTTTGTGATTTACCCTTTTTCTTTAGAGAACCTTGCCGCTCGCAAAAAGACGAGGAAATTTTCATTCATTGCCTGAAGAAATATCAAGTATAACATCATGTAAAAATTGTCATGTGGAACCCTAAGTAATGCAATTAGAAATCAAGAGAGCAAATTTAGTTAATTTATGTGCAGCTTGTTCATTGCCTGAAGAAATATCAAGTATAACATCATGTAAAAATTGTCATGTGGAACCCTAAGTAATGCAATTAGAAATCAAGAGAGCAAATTTAGTTAATTTATATGTGCAGCTTGATTGCCTAATCTAGGGGTCCAAATTACCGAGCAACCACCAAGGAGATCTAACATGAATAGCTTGGAATCTGCAATCAGCAAGTGAATGTGACAAGGAGGGTCAATAACCCCCAACAGATAGTCGATGATTAATCTATAATGTCCTTCAAAAACAAAGATTGTAACTCCAAGAGCATGAGCAAACTTAAGGCTAGCAAGTGCAGCTTTAGCTTCCATTCCTTAAACGCTATCAAGTGCTTGGAACATTGTATATTTTGCATACAAACATGCATGTATGTATATTATATGTATGATGGGGTTAGTCAATCTCTAGTTACTTTAGGCCAAGTTTCATTAGACAAATTAAAAAAACAAACAAAAAAACTAATGTTTTGAAACCAACCCTAGCGCGAGGGCTAAAAAATCCAAGCCTATCCCTCAGTGGTGGAACCATGAATTTTCTCTTGGGGGGAGGAAGTTATATAACATTTTTTTAGCTTATGGCAACAAAATGGCCGTGATAAGTCAAATTATTAAAAAAATAATACTGTGATATATTGATTCATTATTTATAAAGTATAAAAAAGTCAAGAAGTTTACATGAACATACACATAAGGAAGAAAGCAAAAGAACTAATTAAACATCTCTTAAGTAATTTGGTGAAGATGAGGAAAGAAAATGCTTAGAAGCAAAAGAACTAATTCGGCTTAACAAACTCGTCGGAGTACAGCCGGACAACTTGGTAGATGTGGCAACCTGCCGGGAAGTAATACCCAGCTTACCCCGAGTTCTCTCTAAGGGAGGAGCGCCTCAAGCTCCTCCCAATGAGTCCCCAACTCTTCCTTTCTGAGAAGGGAACACCCTGACATGCAGCTAAGTATCCCGAAGTGGAAACACTTCGGGTCAGCACCATTAACACTATTGTCCATGCTTGCCTAAGGCTCACCTCAAGCATAAGCACCTCGGCGCACCCCCAACACCTCGGCCCAAGGTAGCTTGGTGCAAAGTAGCTCGGCAACCTGCAGGAAAGATCTGCCTGACAACAGTACTTGCCGAATCTGGAGGTTGCGCCCACGTCCCTCGTTAGGCAGCGTTGTGCTTGCCATTTCTGAAAGATGTGGCACGCCTGACAGGTTCGTACCCTGCAACGGCTGCCTGCACCCGCCACCTCAGCTCTGGTAGTAACGACTGCGGCAGAGGCGGTTACGCCTGATTTGACAGAACTTCAATATAAAAGGACTTCGATCCCCAAGGAGCAAAGGTATTGAACTTGCGCCATCTGCACTCTTAGCTCTCTCTCTTTGTATTCTCTCTAGTTCGCTTAGAGTTCTAACTTAAGCATCGGAGTATTCCTGCCAGGCGAGCTCCCCGGGAATTCTTCACCTCCCTCTTTTTCTCAGGTACCGTCCGTCGCCAAGTAGGAGCCAGGTTTCCGCCAGTTAAGAGTGACCAGATCGCGCTGCATCAATCATTTTTTCCCCTCCCTTGGGAATGAAATCCTTTTCCAACTGATTATAATTCCTATTCCGATTCCTGTTTGAACCAAACAGACTATGAGAATAAACCATTCTAATTTCAACTAGAAACCAAACAGACCCTTAATAACTTAATGGATGTATAAATCCCTTTTAATTAATTAGATTCGATTGAATAAAGATCCAATCAGTTGACAGCCTGATTCAATTTGATATTCAATCCAATGTTCTTATCCCTAACAAGGTAAAGTGAACGGGGTCAGTCCCTTGCCCATCGGCTACAACCAACCGGAGACCTTTGGCATCTTGTTCCTCCTCTCACATAAACATACTTGCATGCATAAATGAATGTGTCTCGTTTGATACACGAGATTATAGGGTCACCAAATCTAAGAGACACGTGAAATGGCAACACCCGGCTTAATTCATCTTTAAATGAAATCTAATCAGCCTGGTCTAATGGTTAGGGTTACTAGTAGTGGGTTGGCATTTCCACAGCCCACATTTGCTATTATAGTGTCGTGAGTCTGCATTCGGTGCATTGGACGCGTGAATCTACGAATGGGAGAATGATACGTCGACCAAGCCAACGTTAACGCGCGTTTGAACGTTAACATAGTCTGATCGGTTCAATCAGACACGCACGAACCGGTTCGTATCCGCACGAACCGAAAAGAGGGTTAAAACCCCTTTTGTTGCGACTGATTTATGTCCGCACGAACTGGTTCGTGTCCGATTGAATTAATTAGACCACATTAACGCTGAAACGCACGTTAACATTGGCCTGGTTGACATGTCCTTCTCCCATTTGAAGGTTCACGCATCCAGCAGACTCCAATGTCATAGCCCTGTGCTGAAACCAGTAAATAAAAGTCTTTGATTTGTTGTCATGGGCTCATGGCCCCACCATGAATTAGATGAGGTGACTTGTTGGTAGGGCCACTGCAATAGATCGAAGGCCATGCTTTTTTGGTTTAGCCCTACACTATGATAGTGTCGTAGCAAAAGTGAATTCTCATTTCTGATATTAACCTATCCCAATTTTAAAACTAGCCTTCTTCTGGGTGTTGGGTTGGATTCAGGTAGCTTAACCCAAGTTACAAATACAAATATGTATGGTTTAAAACTTTAAATACATACAAAACATAGAAAAAATATAAAAACACAAGGTTCTGCACTCTACGTGTTTGTATTTATAACTCAGTGTGGAAGGAGTATAAATACAAGTTTAGAAGGTAAAATCTTGTATTTTGTATGTATTTATACTCCTTTCAAACTGAGCCTATACTCTTCCAAACTTAGCCTTAATTAAAAGGTCATTTGATCATATCACCACCACAGTTTTAAGAGAGAGTAAGTAGATAGAGACTAGATGGAGAAAGAGACCCGACTCACGCCACCTCAGACAAGATTATGAGACGCCAATTGACTGAACGATTAATGCATGAAGTGTTTACTCATTTTTCAACCCACCACGTCGAAATTGAAATTCATTCATCTGGTTTTGGCCCATGAAGAATTGGAGATGATGTGTTTGGGAATTGGGATCAAGGAAGCTTTTGATAATTGATAGTTGAGGGTCTGAGGCCAAATTGGTCCATAGAATGTGAGATCACTACTTTGAGTATATGAATGCTCTGCCTCTACTCCAAGAAAGAAACAAAAAGGGAAGGTCTTCGGGGCTTCGAGTGATGTACAACACAAATTTTGGTCATTCCGCTCCAAACGCTCGCTATCCTCTTAACGAGTCGTATCGCGTCGCGCGAATGGGCTTTACTCGTTTTTAAGCGTGTTACTCAGGACCGAGAGTCCGAGGCCGACTAGCCTTGAAGCCCAAAAACAATACGCTAACGTGCGCACCACCCTCGTTTTGGAGGAATCCATTAACGATACTAGAGCAGAGCTTCAACACACAGGTGTGGATTTTTTTTTTTATTGGTTGGAACCTTTCCTGTCGTTAATATAATCCGAACAAAATACTAGGGTTTCCTCATTTTACTTTTTTTATTAGCCTGTTCACTATTGTATGCTGCAGCAAAGGAGGAATCCTTGAGAGTGTTTGCATGGAGAGTTTACTGATTGAGAGGTTTCTTTCATGATTTTTTTTAAAGTTTATGTATCCTAGTGTGGTGGGTGTTGGGAATCTGGTTTCTGTTTGATGGTTTTTAGTTATGGTTTTTTATTTTTGAGGAACAAAAACTATATGAACGATGAGGGTTGTTGTCCGGTTAAGGAGGAGATGGAAGGTGAAGGTTTGGGTTCTGGAGCGGCTGGAGGGTTGCATGCTGATTCGGGCATTGATGGCGAGTTAGTTTCAGAAGGGAAGTCATTGCATCTGAAACCTAGGGCAGGTGATGCGAAGATGGATGGAGAGGAGAACAAGTCTGGTTCTAAGAGGAGATCGAAGCCGATTGAAGTTGAAGTTGATTCGGATGATGATGAACCCATAGGGTCTCTGTTCAAGCTGAAGAGGGCTCGGAAACCTAAAAAGGTTAGGTCTGGATTGGATGGTGCCAAGGTCGAAAAAGTTAATGTTGAAAAGGTTGAAGTTAGGTCAGACAACTCCATGGCTGAAGACGAGGATTCGGGTGGAATGGATGACACCTTAGCAAATTTTAGAAAGAAGCTGAAGGGTCCAAAGATGGGTAAAGATAGTGGATCTGGTGTAGTTAAGGGAAAGGGTTCTTCCCTCAATGTGGAAGGACCGTTAGGCGGATCTTCAAACAAGCTCTTGAAGGACGGGGCAGTAGTAGAAAAAATTCCCACAAAAGTGGTGGAGGAAGCCCCTACATCTGGTGTTGATGACTCAGACTTCCCTTCCGATGGAGGGTTAGGGGATAGGCCAAAAGTTCGAGGTAAGAGATCTAGGCTTACTTCTGTTCCAAAGAAGGGGGATTTTGATGATGGATTGGATGGACCTTCTGTTGTTGAGAAACCTCAAGGGGGTTCTTCAAAGAAAAAGATTGGGGCGTTAAGGTCAGAGGAAAGCTTTAATCAGTCTTCTGACGAAAACTTGGAAGTTTCACTATCTGCATTTGTCAGGAAATCACAGTCTGGTTCTATTAGAAAGGCCCGGTCTTCATCTTCTCGGAAACAAAGAGGGAGCACTTCAGCTTCATGGGATGGGTTGAGTCAATGCTTTGGGGATTCAATGAGAGTTCCATCTGCAACTAATCGGAAATCACATTCTGCTTCTGCTTCAAATATGGATTGTGAAAACTCAAAACCTGATGCTGATATCAAAGCAGAGGCTGGTGGAAGCCCAATAGTTCCAGTGCCTGATCAAAATGATACAGTGAAGTCTCTGAGATCTGATGGTTGTGTGACTCAGTCTTCAGAATGGATTCGAGATGATTCTTTAATGAGCCTGCCTGCTTCTGTGTCAGAGGTTAAGGGCAAGATGGGTACTAGTGATGATAGGTGCAATAAATCACCTGAAGGAATCACAGAGGTTTCAGTTCATATTTCTGCACTTTCAAAATCTGATCAAGGTTCGGATGTGGAAGGGAAGCCTTCAACATTCTCCGATATTGAATATGAAGGATGGAAGAAAGCGATTCCTGAGAGACTGCCAGAGAACTGTGGTAGTTTAGACCCACCTTGTGAAGGGGGATCTGAGCAACTATTAATTGAAGCCCAAGGATCTGATTCTGCTTCTATTCTAACAGCCACAATTGAAAGGCAGGGTCTCAGGGATGGGTTAAAGCAGTGTTCAAAAGGCAATGCAAGTGGTTTTGAGCAAGTTCCGAAAAGGAAAGAGGGAGTTCATTTTACTGATGATGTCTCTGATGGATTTCCGCTTAAGTTTCCACAAGAGATTCCATCATCCATTGTTCAAGGATCTGGTGAAGAAAGCCCTAAACCAAATATTGCTTTCTATGAAACTTGTGAAGTCCAAAAGACAAGCAGAATTGGTGAGTTAGATGATGTGTTGAATCAATCAACTGCCAGTGTTCAAGAGGTTTGCAATTTAACCGCAATCCAGAAACCTCTGTCTGAATCTTCTCTGATAGCAAGAATAGAATTAAACAGACAATCTGAAGAAACATTTAAAGAGAATGTTATCCAAATTCACCATAGTGATTGTTTGAATCAACCTTCTGAAAGTGTTTCTAAAGATCTTCATTGCCATGTTAAGAATGAGGGAACGCCAATTTATGACAAACTGGTTCAGCCTTTTGGTACTGTTTTGGAGAACTCCATGACTTCTCTAGCATACAGAACCTCTATTCCAGTGAAGATGGATAACACCTTAAAGCATGAAGGTATTGATAATTTTTCTGATGGACTCTCAGAAGATTCTCAACTTGAGTGTCCAAATCAAGCTCGTGGAATTTCTATTGAAGAGTGCCATGATGCTTTGGTCCTTAAGAAAATGGAAGAAACCTCTCGATCTGAAGTTCATACGACTTCAGAGGTTAAAAATTCCAACCTGGCTTCCCCTCTGAATCAGAAGGCGGAATCACCAGTTACTGGTGATGTCCCCAACCCATCTTCTGATAGACTTTTCATGGACTCATCAGTCCCTAATGAAGAGAAGATACCTTCTTACGATGCCTCAGAAGGGATTAGTGTTAGAAATCAAGATTTTCTTTCTGTCAAGGTAGAAACCAATCCAGAAGATTGTCCAGAAGACGGAGAAATGGCACCTGATCCTGAAAACAAGGATAGGCTATCAGTAATGCAGCGGGCTATGCGCAAGGTTAAAAAGCGTAGGCATGGGGACATGGCTTATGAAGGGGATGCTGATTGGGAGGTTCTGATGCACGAGAAAAGTTTCTTTGAAAGTAATCGTGTTCTTGATAGAGACAAACCTTCTAGAATGAAAGATAAGTCTGAGTCCCTTACAAGTATTGCTGCAGATGTTGATAATTGTGGTGCAGCAGCAGTAGCAGCTGGGCTTAAGGCACGTGCAGCAGGTCCAGTTGAGAAAATTAAATTCAAGGAGGTTTTAAAGCGCAGAGGTGGATTTCAGGAATACCTGGAATGCAGGTTTGTTGTCCCTTATTGAAACCTTGAGTTCTTTTGCAATTGCGCATACTTGTGTTGTTTTGCAACTTTTAAGTCAGTTTCCACTTATTGACAAAGTTCTTTTTAATCCTCAGAGATTTTACCTCTTTATTGATGGCAACTTAACATGTGTGTAGCTTATTCCATGCATAATGTAGTGGTACATTTTTAGTAATGGCATGGTATCATTGTTTATGCATTACTGCATTTCATGTTTAATAACTTTATAGTACTTTCAGATACTGTGCTTGTGGTAGATATGGTATGACTGTTCATCATTTCTGCCAATCCTTTTGTTGATGAAGTTGTAGTTTAATTCAGGTTGCTTTGGCGTGAATGTCTTATTACCTTCAATTGGGATTAATTCCTTATTGATAAAAAAAATTGGGATTAATTCCTAGCAGTTGTATAGTTTAGCCTTCATCAAGCAGAATAGAAAAAGTAAGTTGTATCATGTCCTCTCTATGACATTCTTCAGTAGTGATGGGTGACATCTTAAAGGAAATACTTTTATGTTTTACATGCCCTAGTTTTTATCTTTTGATCCAATGGTTGCTTCCAAGAAACAATTGTACTTATTGCTGAATGCCGTGTGGCTAATTACATTGTTGAACTTGGACATTGGCAGATGTTTAACAACACAATGAGTTAGTGATAGACATTCAACAATCAACCTTCTTTCTAATGCTTATTGGTTTGCCTTCTTCATTGAACTGTAATTGTATTAAGAATTATGTGAACATAAATTGTTGAACTTGGACATTGGCAGATGTTTAACAACACAATGAGTTAGTGATAGACATTCAACAATCAACCTTCTTTCTAATGCTTATTGGTTTGCCTTCTTCATTGAACTGTAATTGTATTAAGAATTATGTGAACATAAACTCAGGAAATATCAATGAACCTAACTTTTCCTCATGAATTTCCATTGATTTGTTCTTTGAGACGGGCAAGTTGATGTATATGGGGTCCATTTGTTTTTGCAATGCAGGAATCTAATTTTAAGCCTCTGGAGTAAGGACATAACTCGCATTTTGCCTCTCATAGATTGTGGAGTTGTTGATGTTCCTACAGAGAATGAAACATCACGTGCCTCTCTTATCAGGGACGTCTATGAGTTTCTTGATCAAAGTGTAAGTTTTCTTTTTGCAAGCTCCATTGGTGTTAGTTTCCAAGGTTATGGTTGTTATAATAATTGTTACTACTTTTTTTGTTTTTAAAATTCAATGCTGCAGTAAGATCTCATGTTCATATCAAATTACTCTTTCAGTTCCTCCGTATTGTTGTAACTCACTGTTTTCGTATGTGAAGTTAGTCTGTCTTATCTTTTCTAATCTTCTACTTTACTTCCAACTATTGATGAGTCTTCAACAGGGTTATATCAATGTAGGCATTGCTTCGGAAAAGGATAAAACAGAATCATGTGCTAAAGTTCATTGTAAGATTTTGAAAGAAAAGAAAGCTGAGGAAGACTGTGGGACCGGAGTTGCTGATTCAGAGGATGGGGTTGCATTCATCATAGGTCAGGCTAAGAGTTCTAAGAATCTTACTGAAGCAAAAAATACTATTTCCTTGGATGATGAAAAGTTGACTTCAGAAGCCACTGTAGGCAAGAAGCTAGTTCTGCCAAGGACAGGATCTGAGTTGTCTTTGCTAGAATCAGAAGAATGCAAGGTTGATAATAACCAGGATAATACTTGCATGAATGCAAAACCATGTAGCACTCCATTTGACCAGATAGTCGAAGGCGGGCAAAATCATCTCTTAGATCTGGGGCATATACGGGACACTTACAAATTCCAAGCTGCTTCAGTCAATACTATGGAGAACAACAATGGGCATGGTGACTTGGAAATCTGTAAGACAATCATTGTTGTTGGAGCTGGCCCAGCTGGTTTAACTGCAGCCCGCCATTTACAACGTCAGGGCTTCTCTGTGACAGTGCTTGAGGCTAGGAATAGGATAGGTGGTCGTGTTTTTACTGACCATTCGTCTCTTTCAGTTCCTGTGGATCTTGGGGCCAGCATCATTACAGGCGTTGAGGCTGATGTGGCAACTGAAAGAAGACCAGATCCATCATCTTTAATTTGTGCTCAGTTAGGCCTTGAATTGACTGTATTGAACAGTGATTGTCCCCTTTATGATATTGTAACAGGGCAGAAAGTTCCAGCAGACTTGGATGAAACACTTGAAGCAGAGTACAACAGCCTCCTGGATGACATGTTAGTTCTTGTTGCACATCAGGGTGAACGTGCAATGAGAATGTCTCTGGAAGATGGATTAGAATATGCCCTAAAGAGGCGTCGCATGTCTCGGTCAATAACAGATGCTGAAGACTTTGCATTATATACCTCTGTTAGTTCTGACAATGATGCTGAAACAGATGGTTTTGGGAACAAAACCTCTAATAGAACTAATTCTGAAGAGGATATTCTGAGTCCACTTGAGAGGAGAGTAATGAATTGGCACTTTGCCAACTTAGAATATGGGTGTGCTGCTTTGCTCAAGGCAGTGTCTCTTCCTTACTGGAATCAGGATGACGTTTATGGAGGATTTGGAGGGGCCCACTGTATGATAAAAGGGGGTTACAGTTCTGTAGTCGAATCTTTAGGGAAAGGCCTCAATATTCACTTGAATCACGTGGTAACAGAAATTTTTTATAGCACTAGGGATTCTAGAGAAGCTGATGAACGTAAGGGTAAAGTCAAGGTTTCTACATCAAATGGTAGAGAGTTTATTGGAGATGCTGTTCTGATCACAGTACCACTCGGTTGCTTAAAAGCAGAAACCATAAAGTTTTCCCCAGTTCTACCAGAATGGAAACGTTCTTCTATCCAACGATTGGGTTTTGGAGTTCTGAATAAGGTAGTTTTGGAATTTCCATATGTGTTTTGGGATGATAGTGTGGATTACTTTGGGGCAACTGCAGAGGAAACAGAGCGGAGAGGTCAGTGCTTTATGTTTTGGAACATCAAAAAGACAGTTGGATCTCCTGTGCTCATTGCCCTTGTGGTTGGTAAGGCAGCATTAGATGGCCAAAATATGAGTTCATCTGATCATGTGAACCATGCTATAATGGTTCTTCGTAAACTTTTTGGGGAGGTTTCAGTACCTGATCCAGTTGCATCTGTTGTGACAAACTGGGGTAAGGATCCCTTCAGTCGAGGTGCTTATTCCTATGTTGCTGTTGGAGCATCAGGGGAGGACTATGATATCTTGGGCAGACCTGTTGATAACTGTTTATTTTTCGCTGGTGAAGCTACTTGCAAGGAGCATCCAGACACTGTTGGTGGTGCAATGATGAGTGGCCTTCGAGAAGCAGTACGCATAATTGACATTTTGAGAACTGGAAATGATTGTACTGCAGAAGTGGAAGCAATGGAGGCTGCTCAGAGACAGTCAGACAGTGAAAGGAATGAAGTCAGGGATGTTCTGAAGAGACTTGATGCGGTTGAAGCCTCTAGTGTCCTATACAAAAGCTCCTTGGATGGGGCTCAGATGCTAACCAAAGAGGGATTGCTAAGGGATATGTTCACTAATACAAGGACTACAGCTGGACGATTACACCTGGCAAAAGAATTGTTGAAACTTCCTGTTGAGTCTCTGAAGTCCTTTGCTGGGACCAAAGAAGGACTTGGTACACTCAACTCGTGGATACTGGTAATCTCTTATGTACACCAATGATATTGTTTACTGAGTACTTAGATTTTTTAGCCAGCTTCTAGCATGGTGTTTACTTTTTCTTTCTTTTTTGTTCCAATGTATCCCCCCTCCTGGCTAAGCAAGATTGTAGATGTTTGGGACCATTATTGGGTAATGGCTCTATACAAATATGCATATATAGATGATCAAAAAAATATTTATGTATGCACACACATTGATTTATGTTTTGCAGTGCTAAGTGAAGTCTGCTGAAAAAGAATTTTCTTCCATTTTAACAGGATTCAATGGGAAAGGATGCAACTCAACTATTGCGCCACTGTGTTCGCCTGCTTGTGCTTGTGTCAACTGATCTGCTTGCTGTCCGTCTGTCAGGTATACATCTCTCGCAGTCTCGCTGTTGGATTAATGTTACCATAGATAGAGATTGCAATAATGCTTAACTCTTGAAGAACACACTCACACTTGGTTTGTTGCATCTTTATCTTTTCTATACCTGTATGTTACTTTATTTTTCATACTCATGGTCGCTCATTTACTGCTTTCTTTCCAATGTAATATGGTTCCATTTGCATAAATGAAAGAATCTTGTACATGATGTATTAAGGTCTTTCTTTTGTTTTTCTTGTTGTCTGGTTTAGGTATAGGAAGGACGGTGAAAGAGAAGGTTTGTGTACACACTAGCCGTGATATTCGTGCTGTGGCAAGCCAGCTAGTCAGCATGTGGATTGAAGTCTTTCGCAAAGAAAAAGCTTCCAATGGTGGATTGAAATTATTGAGGCAAGCTATGACATCTGATTCATCAAAGGCCAGATCATCTAAAGAATTAAGCTCTGGAAAACCACCTTTGCGTGCAACTCAGGGTACACTAGATAATAGAGACAGTGTACATGTTCCTTCTGCAGGAAGCCATTCTCCTTCCAATCCAAACATTAAGAAAGTGCACGGCAAGCCTTCAAAATTAGAAATCCTGGCTGAATCCAGGTCTGAAGTTAATTCATCACGACCCCAGGTTGTTCAGAGCCTGGATTCTAAGGTGGAGGAGAACTCTGTTGCCATGTCTGAGGAAGAAGCTGCTGCATTTTCTGCAGCAGAAGCAGCTCGGGCTGCTGCTCTTGCAGCTGCAAAGGTTTGTCTTTCTTGATGCCACAAATATATGATGGATAATGTACATGATACATTCATCAAAAAAATAATGTACATGATATGGCTATGGATTGAATTTCAAGGCAAAAAACTAAGCACCTAATATTTGGTCATGCTATTATAGTTATAGCTACTGCAGTTATCATCCATAATGAATTATGAAAAAGTAATAGCTTTAAAAGAGGGAAGGAATAATTTTGAGAAACAAACAGTTGCTGTGGTTTCAAATTTGGGCACTATGTCAGGCCCAATTAGGCTAAGTGACAAAACAAGTAGAGGAAGCGGGTTGGTCAACAGGGGTGGATGCTCCGAACTAGGTAGGATTCAGAGGGTCTTTAGTAACCCACTGGATAATCCCGGTGAGTCTCCTCTAAACTGGGGTGAGACAGGCTTGAAACAGGAGGGTCGTTTAGTGAGATCCGACCCATGTGACATTTCAAGTTGTCACGTGAGTTGGGTTTCAAAGAATGCGACAGGAGACAGTTTTGGTGGTTTATCATCTTCAGTGGCATTGCAGCAGGTCGAAAGCCGAAAGAGCTCGAGGAATCTGAATTTTTTGAAGATTTCATCGTATACAGAGAGGACTAACAAGGAAGAAAAGAGGTGTTTTGAAGAGAAGGAAGAGGTTCAGGCAGTTTTTTTAGACGTGATCTTCAACAGGAAAAAGAGGGGGATGGCAAAGACATTCAGGTAGGATCTAATGGCAAGGACGGAGCTCGGAAAAAATCAGAGGAAGAAGATACAGAAGAGCAAAGAGCAGTGATGAAGAGAATATCGAAGAGCTAGTTAGGACTATGCAGGAAAGAGATAAAGCTAGAGTCGAGGAAGAGAAGGAGATCGTACAAGGAGATGAGATGAGAGGGTTTGAAAGGACGAAGGAAACAAGAGAAGAGGAAGAGTTAGGAGGTGCCAAAGGAGGAGAAGGGGATAAGGATTCAGCAGAGGATATCGAAGGGGAGAGAGGAGTTAGGAACGAGGGAGGGGGAAGTGAGGGAGTCGGAAGGAAGAGTCGGAGTGGGGTTAGTACTTGCAAAAGGAAAAGATATAGAACTTTTCCTTTAGAAGAAAACAGAGAGGGGGGGGGGAGGGGAGAAAACGGACTCAGGTGAGGTCTCTGAGGAGGAAAGCGAGGATGCTACGATGATAGATGAGGTCCATAAAGTGGAGAAGAGTTGTGACTTTGAAAAAGTGGTAAATAAGGAAGTGGAAGTCAGTAGAATTCTGGGTCTGTTCTTCTTAGGTGGGGAAGAGTTTGCGAAGGAAGCATTCAGATCTGGAAGAAAGAAAGGGAGAAAGCGACAATAAAGATGTTCCAGTGGCTGAATGTAATTCTAGTAATTTGATAATTCAAGGGATGACAGAACCGAATGAAGGCTGCAAGAACAGAATCAATGAAAAGGAAGAAGAACCAAGGGGGGGGAGGGGTCAGAAATCTGTCAGAAAATTGGAAGAAGTTGTGGGAAATGTAAACATAGCTAGAAGATGCAGAACAACGAAAAATAGAAAAAGTCAACAGCAGATAACAACTTCAAAAGTTTTTCCAAGGATTAAGGGAGGCCCGTTTGGCATTGGGCCCAACAAGGTAGTAAGAAAAAACAAAAATGGAGTCAGAAGACAACAAGAAGGATGCACGAACAAGAAGACTAATTGAGCTGGAGTCCGGTAGGGGCTTGGGTGTTTGTTTTTGGGTTTCTTTGGTGGGTGGTGGTTGTGGGTGTTGAGGGGCTTGAAAGGGCATAGGTCTTGTTTGTTCGATGGTTGGGGTTTTATCGGGTTTTGTTTTGTATTGCTTTTGATTTCTTTTCCAAGGAGTTTGGTTGATGACGGGTGGGCTTGGGTAGGGTGGTTGGCCTGGCTGGGTTTTGTTTTATTTTAGTTGGGTCTCTTTGGGTTGTTTCTTTTCTCTCGGGTGATTGCTTATCACCTCCTTGTATCTTCTTTTTGTTTAATATTTTTTTTCTTTATCTTCAAAAAAAAAAAATGAATTATGAATTCTAGACAGAACTATGTTGTTTGGTTTTTCTTCATTGTGCCTGTTTCTCCTTGATTGTATTGATTGTTGGATTTACATTTATATGAATGCTGATCTTCCTGTAGGCATATGCATCTTCAGAAGCAGAATGCAGTACATTACGGGAGCTTCCCAAAATCCCCTCATTTCATAAATTTGCTAGACGAGAGCAATATGCACAGGTGGATGACTCTGATCTTAGAAGAAGGAAGTGGTCAGGGGGTGTTTTGGGAAGGCAAGATTGTATATCAGAAATAGACTCCAGGAACTGCAGGGTCAGGAATTGGTCGGTCGATTTCTCTGCCACTTGTGCAAACCTTGAAGGTTCAAGAATATCAGTTGACAACTCTGCACAAAGAAGCTACTCAAATGAAGTTGCATACCAATTGAACCTCAGAGAGCACTCAGGTGAAAGTGCAGCTGTAGACAGTAGCTTTACAAAAGCATGGGTGGACACTGCTGGTAGTGAAGGGGTGAAGGATTATCATGCCATCGAGAGATGGCAGTCTCAGGCGGCAGCTGCTGATTCTGATTTCTACCATCCAATTTTACACGTCAGGGATGAGGAGGATTCAAACACATCATCAAAACCACCCTCTGGAAAGTATGAAAGGCGGACAGAAGAAACATCTGTTTCACAAGTTACGGAAAATAGGGTATTGAGGGAACACCAATCTAGAGGAGCAGAGCGCATTAAACAGGCTGTTGTGGATTATGTGGCGTCATTACTCATGCCCCTATACAAAGCCAAGAAAATTGACAAGGAAGGGTACAAGTCAATAATGAAGAAAAGTGCAACCAAGGTCTGTTGCTTCTTATGGTTAAAATGGAAAGTTCCTTTTGGTTTCCGGTGGTTAGCATTATCATAAATTCCTATTGATGGAGGAGATTTCATCTGCTGACTTGTTTCTTGTATTACCATTTTATTGCTTTGATGTTTTCAGGTCATGGAACAGACTACAGATGCAGAGAAAGCCATGGCTGTTTCTGAGTTTCTTGATTTTAAACGGAAGAATAAGGTTTGTGCTCAATCTAGTTATGTGAACTTTATGGGTGGTGGTTGTCTATAGGGGTGCAAGTCAGGAGCCCAATTTGAAGATTTTACACTGCACCAGACCAGGTTCAAACCTGGGGTCATTCAAAATTTGACAAAATCCCAACCTGATCCTGCCAAAATTGCGCACCCCTAGTTTTCCAACATTTGAAAGTTCATGTTTGGTACCTCTTTTGATTAGTATTTTGTACTTAAGGCTCAGTTTGGAAAGAGTACAAATACAAATATGTACAGTACAATTGTACAAATACATACAAAATACAATGTTTTGCACTCTACATATTTGTATTTGTACTCCTTCCAAACTGAGCCTAAATTATATGTAGTGATTATTTTCAGCTGTTTTCTCCGGAACCAAATGTTATTGATTCGTTCTACTTGTCAACTTGCAGATTCGTGCTTTTGTGGACAAGTTGATTGAGAGGCACATGACAATGAATCCAGCTGTTAAATCTTGATGTCCCTGAGGGTTATTGGGGATGAACGGTATTTCTTGGCACCTTTCTGTATGAGCAAACAGAAGTAGGCTCTGTGGTATTTGCCCCGTGGTTTATGGTATTCATTAAAGGTATTTGGGCCCTGGAGTACAAGGGTGGATGGGAACCATCTACTTAAGATGCCTTCTACAAATTGTCCGTTACCTGTCAATGATCTGGCAGGGTGGTGGAAGTGAATGGCAGTTGCAGGTTGGTCCCTTTTGGGTCATTCATGTCTTCAAGCAGCAAATGGAAATGTTGGTGATATGCTCAAGACTGACAGTTGCAAAGGCTCCTCGTATGGTGACCATCTTCTATGGTGGTACATTTGTAAAGGCTCCTTGTATTGTGAACTTCCTTGGAATATCGTTGAATTAAATGCTGCATCATGTCCATCTGGATGACGTATTTCTGGTATTAACACCACTTGAAGATAACATCAGATTGCCAACAGAATAGAAACTGGTCCTTAATCTGTCAGAGATTGTATTTTTAGAGGATCAAGATTTAACCCTTTTTTTGTTCAGGGATTTCCCATAATTGATCGTGGAACCCACCCTACCCTTTCTTTTTCTTTTTATAGATTTTTATTTTTATTTCAATTTCTTGTACAGATCAAGATTGTTTCTGTCATCGACAGGCTTACATAACATGTGAACGAACTTCTCATAAAAGGAGTCTGAATTAATGGCTGCCAGATGCCGCTACTATCTGAAACCTCTGCTTTTCCAGTGCATCTTTTATTTCTTAATTAGCCTAATTTTTTTTGGTGGTCAGCGTAGCAGCCTTCATGCTGGTAATAGCAAGTTATTTTCTAATGGAAATTTGTCTATACTGAAAATATGAGGAAGGTATTTTGCGTGCTATGGAATTCAAATTAAATGAATGGTAACCATGAGTCCATGACTGCTCAAGAATTGGTACTTGTCTCTCAGAGTTGGGTCCACAGTATTGCTATGTCATATAATCTGTATTGCAAATACTAAGATTTATATAATTTGTTAATGATATTTTGTTTAATACAATCTAACAAACTCTATTTAAATTTATATTCCAAAGCTCAAAATTAATGCATTAAATTGAGATGACTTTGAGGGGGCTTCACCAGGTAAATCACAAAGGGTTCATACATGCTGTCTCAGTATGGTGCTTAGAACAGATTTTTTTATACGTTTAGGCCTTGGTTAGAAGGTTTTAACTCTCTTCCTGCAGTTGTTTGTTAAGGTTGATGATATTTTGGCTATTTATGATGTAGAAGTGAAAAGTCAGGCTTATGTTGTCTTGTAAATGTGGGCCATTTTTTTGCTTTTGCTTCTTGGTTATTTTCTTTTACTATTAATAGTCTTGTTTGATTGTTGATATGTTCTATTTCTGCTCCCTAACAAATTTTCTTATTTTCCTATGTGCAGGTCTTTGTGTATCTACATGCATCCGCTAGCTTCCTGTCTGGAGTTTTGAGTCTTTTGAGTTTTGTGGGTCTTGATGTTGAATTTTATTGTTAGATTTTGTTATTAATACCAATTGTTGATCCATGAACAAGACAAAAAGCGTATCAGCTGAAAGCAGCATGAGTTTTGTTTTGAAGTTATCAACTTTACCTCATCATGTTCAGGTTGATCTCAGAACTGCTTATTGTGTGGCTTTTGAGGCTGTTCATATATGGTGTAGACCAAGATTTCCACGGGCTGTTGAAGCCCTTTTACTGATCTAGTTTATCTGGCCATGGCTGTTTTTTATGGCCCCATGGTAAGATAACCTCCGCATAAACTTACTACTTTGTTTAGGGGGTAGAGATGGGAAGTCAATATGCCTCAGTTATTCCATTGGTTGAATTGACTAAAGATCTAAAGCTGGTAATATTCTCGTCTCCAGTTCATCTCTAATATATGAAACACAAAAAAACCTTGTGTTTTGGGACTGAGATTCCACCCATGATGCTATATATAATCTGTAAATCACGATTTTTATTTTCAGACCAATTACTAAAAGCTGTATTCCAATCTTGCTCATTGCAACGTTGATCTAAGCTTTTATGATGCTACAGTGGCAGCGCTACAGACTAACAGTGCACTATGATCCTTCAACGTTAAACCTTCTATTTCATGCACCGTGGATGAGATGAGAAATGAGAAATGAGAAATGCTTACCGCATTAGGCAGGCTGATTTCCGATTGAAGTTGTAATGCAACTGTATCCTGTTTCACGTTCTTGTTTTAAATCAAATGCGACAGGGGCGCTTATTAGTTACTTCCATCACCATCAGGCTCACGTTTACGTTCAAGTGCGTCTATAGAGAGAGGTTGCAATAGAGTAACCCAACCGTTGTGCCAAGGGTCACTCTGGTGTTTTTTTCATCACATTTTGATTTTAGATTGGCCACTCTGTGTCTGTGCTGGTCATTGGGCAGAAAGCAAGATTACTAGAATATCATCGAAGTACAAATGCAATCGAGCTGAGCCTAGTCAAACTTTTGCATGTCTTGGCCCGATTCAACTAAAATGCTATTAGGTTTAAATTCAAGCCCAAGTTTGATTTAAATTACATTTTCTTGTTCAAGCTTGGTTCAATTAAATATTCGATGAACTTGAATTTGTCTCAAAAGCTCAAAAGTCTATATATATATATAATATTATAAAATATATTTTTATATTTTATAATATGTATGTATATGTTAATCAAACCAATCTTGCGAATTCACAAGTCAAATTTTTTATTAATCAAACTTGAACTTGAATAACTGATTAATCAAATTTACCCCAAAGTTCAAATTCAAGTCCAAACTATTTTGATTAGAACCCGATTTGATTACCGTAAAAGTATCGTGGAATGCAATAGCTGTTAAAACAGACTGAAACTAATGATATCTCTAGTAACAAAATACATAGAACCCAACCATTTAATTTCTATATATTTTCACTGGCGTAGGGCATTACCCACAGTTTGCTGATCATTCAGCTAATCCGAATACGAATTGGCTCGTTAGAATCAGATGTATGACATCCCTATATAATGGCTATATCTTTATTAGGCTTTTGTTGGGTTATTAAGACGAGATTTCCCTAAAAGCCCAGTCCAGTAATTGACTAAACCACCACCACCACCACCACCACGTACACGTATAGCCCATTATCACGCTTCAGGCTCAAGCGTCAGTTCATGTGATTTATAAAGCTCCCTCGTTGATTTTTATCTCCATCAACCTTGTGAGATTAGATTTAACGCTCGCCGGAGAGAGGGGGAGAGAAGCAACTCCAAATCTCTCCAATTCGTAGATCCGATCGTGGTAGCTGCAAATCCTCCCTCGAAAATGTCTTCTACGTTCAGCGGAGATGAAACTGCTCCATTTTTTGGCTTCCTCGGCGCTGCAGCTGCCCTTGTTTTCTCCTGTAGGCTGAAGCGCAACCCTAATTTTTGATCGTTTAATCTGCTTATTTGAATTTCCCCTGTTCCTTGGGTTTCATTTATGTTTCTATAGGGTTTCAATGTAGATCTAATGTTTTTGTTGGCGTTTCAGGTATGGGAGCTGCTTATGGAACGGCGAAGAGTGGTGTTGGTGTGGCCTCCATGGGTGTTATGAGGCCAGAGCTGGTCATGAAATCAATAGTTCCCGTTGTTATGGCTGGAGTGCTGGGTATTTATGGATTGATTATTGCTGTTATAATCAGTACTGGAATAAACCCCAAGGCCAAGTCTTATTACCTTTTTGATGGTTACGCGCATCTTTCATCTGGCCTGGCTTGTGGTCTTGCTGGGCTTTCTGCTGGAATGGCGATCGGAATTGTTGGTGATGCTGGTGTTAGGTATGATTTTAATTTCCCGATTTTCTTTTGGTTGATAGTTGCTATATCTGTTTGTTCGCGATTGCTTTAGAGGTTAGTAATTCTTAGCTTTAAAATTGGTATAATTTTATTTGTTTTGCTTAAATTGTTTTCTGATTTATGATTTCATATATTTGTGTATGTATATATGTATATTCTTTCCTTGCTTTGTTTGCAATTTTGGTTTGGATGATATGTTTGAATTGGTTGCTTTTCTCAATTGAAATTGAGCATATGATTGTTTGGACGGATTTGTATATTCTGATATTCAGAATCTTGGTGTGAAGTTTGGAGCTATTTCAATTTCAATGTTGATCTTAAGGAAATTATGGAGAACTATGTTTATGATGTAAACCCCTAACCCAGCAATAAGGCATATGGGCATTGTTTTGGTTATAATAATCCACAACGTTTTCCTGTTTCTTCCTTTTGTGCGTGAGGTTGGGGGAGGGGCTATTTTTCTGAGATAACTTATCATAACCAGGCTTCCTTTTTTCAATGACTATGTTCTTTAATGAACACTTTCTGCGCTAGCGCTACAAGTAGCACTTGCCATCCAATTTATGTTCTCCAGTGTGACAACCCACAACCCCCTCTCCCAATAACAACAAAAAATTAAAAAAGAAAGAAAATAAAATAAATAAAAGGAATACACAAATACGCATTCAAGCATGCATACAAGCACATACAATATTTTCATTTCATTCAGCTGTGTTTAGAGAGTTGAGGAAAAAAGTGCTTTCAACTTGTAAGAATCCCTCCTCCACCATTACTATACTCAGTAACTACTAACAAATAAATCACCCAGATATCCTATCCATTAAAAGTGTGGAAGTTTTTCTGCTGGGTGTTTCCTGTGCTGCTCTCTGCACTGGAGTCTCCATGGACTGGATCTTAAACTTGCTTCTGTCACATGGGGCTGATCAGCGATCATTCCACTTGATGGTTGGGAATTTATGGATTGTGATAGCATGTGACTTAATGACACCTAGTTGTTTCAGGTGATTTTTCATTGTAAGTCTTCTTATTGTTTTCTTGACATGTTCCTTCTTCCCTTTGAATTCCCATGTGCTCTACAAGGTTAAGAAAGTATGAATTTTCTATCTTTTTTTGATATATTATAGGTGTGTCTATCTTTATCTGTTGCTAATGCAAAATGCATAAAACAGAAGGGGGCATATGCTTGATATTTATCTTTGCTGTGAGGAGAGCAGTATGTTATGTTTAATGTTGTTTAAAGGATAATCTGTTAGGTTTGATTTCTTTAATAACATGCAATGTACTTCTCAAGCAGTCATTCCCTGCAGGCCTGCCCATGTACAAACAGGAAGTCACATTCTCAAGCTAAACTCATTTTATAAATGATATATAGTATCAAAGTCACTTCTAGTTTGTATCTTAGCAAAATATATTATTTTGGTTGTGTTTCATTTTAATTTATTTAGGCCCATTACCCAAACCAGGGTTCGTGCTATCTAGGTGTGTTGGGAGGGGTAAACTAGATACAGACCTAGCAACTCTTATCTCGTTTTTCCTTTTTTCCCTTCTTTCTTTTATTATTTTGTTTAGAAACCTAGGCTACCACCAATGAAGTTGATTATGGATATGAATAATTGTGTGGATAACCAGATGGGAAGCTGGCTAATGATTCCAGTCCATGCTGACATGAACCGGATGAGATTTGATATCTGATATCCTCACAGAGGATTAACTGATAACTACTTTTGTAGCTCGTATAGTAGGATATTGAAGAGGAACCGGACCATAGTGATGATCTCTTGGGAGATTGAGAGTCTAAGGTTCTGAAGAATCCAACTTTTAACAAGATCATATCCATAAAATAGATATTGGAGAAGAACATCTTGGTGAGAGCTATAAACTGAGGTAGTCACTGGTAGTTTTTAGTCAGTTGTTTTTCAGGGTTAGCTTTGAATGTTTGGTGGAGCTTCTGATTGTATGCTGGCATAACTCCACTTAGACTGTTTGCTCCTAAACAGCATAATTGGATAGAAATGAGGTCAATGATGAAGGCTTGATTTTGTTTGGTCATTAGGTTCTAGTTTAGGTAGAGTAGATCAACTAAGGGAGGCTTCCAATAGATGAACAATGAGTCCAGCTATATGGTTCTCAGGCCAGTTTACATGTGCCCTTAAGACAGTCAATTGTGGCCAGAACTAGTAGATGGGTTGTTGGCATGGAGATCAAGAACTTACAAATTGATTTTGGAAGGGATGACACAGAAGAGCCAACTGCCACCATGGTAGTGCCTCTTGTGCTGGAAGAGGTTTCAGAATGTTTAGGTGATGAAATTGGTGATCTAATTTGCATTTAGGAAGAGATGGGCAAGGTAAAAGTTTTTTCATATGCATGGATCATGATTTGATGATAGTGGAGTTAATTCAGGAGTCACAGAGTCGACTTATGAATTTATGACTTTTGGTGGTTTGTACTAGCACAGGATAAAGCTCCAATAGAACTATATATATATATATATATATATATATATATATGGGGAAGGATTAAAATATCAATGTGATACACAGACACCCAATATGGGGCATATCACGTCCATACCAGTGCACCAAGTACACTTGGATATACAGATACAAAAAGATTTGAGGAAGTTTATAACTTCGGGAAGGCTGCATCCATCCGTTTATGCTTATAAAACAAACAAGTAAATAAAATAAATTATCAGGTGTATCAATACACACCAATTGATCGTATTGATATTTTGATCCCTGGATAGCGGATATTTTGGATTGGCCACTTATTTACTTCTCCTATCAAAAAACAGATGGATGCAGCCTTCCCGAAATTATAAACTTCCTCAAATCTTTTTGTATCTGTATATCCAAGTGTACTTGGTGCACTGGTATGGACGTGATATGCTCCATATTGGGTGTCTGTGTATCACATTGATATTTTAATCCTTGCCCCTATATATGATCAATGGTTCAGATTGTCAATGGAATTTTGCACCTGGTTCAGTTTTGCATCCATTTGCACTCACTAGCAATGCAAATTTTGCATCCCAAAAACTGATGCAAAATTTGCACCACGTTCCTTCTACATCAATTCTCTCTCATATAAACTGCGGACCCCATCGTCTTGGTTCTTGCATCACTCCTAAACAAACAACCACCCTCCTACCTCCATTCTCTTTCATATAAGGTGGGGACATAAACCAGAATTTACACAGCCTATTCGCACCAATGTTTTAAAAACTGACCCAGAGGCTGAACCATTTTCACCTCCCAGTTGCAGGTCATTGGTTCAGCAGTCTGGGTCAAATGGGTCAGACCATCTGTGTGTATAAACATGTATTTTATCAATAAAAATGTATAATTATTATTTTTTGATGTAATATATATATATAGATATAAATATTATTTTATGTTTAATTTGTATTAAAAAAGATTTTTTTGGCAAAATAGTGGGGCAAGGCACCTTGGGATGCATAGGTCTTGAAAAGTTACCTAAAAAAAGATAACCCCAATTGGACATCCAAGCGCAAAGTTATGGCCTCTAGAAGTTTTCACATACGTTGAGTGTGTAACCCATGACCCGCTGAATGGGTCAACCGGTCAATGGTTCAACTGCCCGGTTCAGACGGTTTTTGATAAAATGACAGTTTCATGCGAACTGGATCCAGAATCTTGACTGGGTGATGGCTTGAATGGTTCAACTGGCCAGGGTTGAAAACACTGATTTGCACTATGCATTTACACCAATGCAAATGCAAACAAACCGAACCAAATCCTGTTTTGCTGATTCAGTGGTGTCATTTATGAACAGCATGAGCTTGAAAAAATGATTAGTTATATTATTCACGTTCCTAAGGGTTTGTTCAAACTTGCTAACCTGATATATAAAGTCTGTTTCTCTTTCGAATATCTATGTTTATTACTTCTTACTACCAAATTTGTTCCTCCCTGCATCATGCTACAGTTGCAATGCTAATTGAAGTTTGTAGAGGTCTCATTGGATGACAATATTATGGTTTTTGGTGTTTGATGAATACTTGGGACATTTTGGCCTTTTTTTGTTATCAGTTTTAGGGTAACTGATTCTGATTATTGATCCTTAAAATTACTACTACTACTTCATGTTTGGCTGTTTGTAATGAAAATACAAATCAGTGTTTGTTGGGATGATTCTTATCCTCTAGCTCAAGGTTTAATAGCCTAATTGGCAACTTTTCTGATCATTGGAGCTTATTTGACTTTACACTTCTAGCTCAGAAATTCAGGTTTCTGATTTGGTGGTTGTATTTTTGCAGAGCGAATGCACAACAACCCAAGCTCTTTGTTGGGATGATTCTTATCCTCATCTTTGCTGAAGCTCTTGCCCTCTATGGCCTTATAGTTGGCATCATCCTGTCCTCACGAGCTGGCCAATCCAGAGCAGACTAAGAAGTGAAACGCTTCCTGCTAATTGTTCCTATATCGTTTATTGGAATTTTGAAATCATTTCAAAACCTCAAAATTCTTTAGTCGTTATCAATGGTAGTTCAGCACATGCATCGTTCTATAGGGGGATGTGGATTGCTTCACGACCTTCCTTGGTTAGTTGCTTCGTCCCTCGTGCTGTTCTTCCCAAATAAAGCCTTTGGATCTGTTTCTTTTCGTTTATCTATTGCTGTAGTTCGCTGATATTAGACCTTACTGCTGTAGTTTGCAGAATACTGTGGTGTTATGTAATATTGAATAGAAGCTGTATTGTTTTCGAAGTGCTTCGTTTTTTTTTCCCTTTTGGATAAATAAAGTGCTTCGTTTTCAATTTCCTACCGAAATGTCTCCAACGGTGGATATAGACACAACGGCGTTTGACCGTTGGGTGCAGCTTTACCTGCATCTGCCGTGATAGCTGCTTTCATACAATGTTATGGTGTTTGGCCTAGATAGGCTTCAGACCCCGTGTCAGATTGTCCTGGCCATCCTGATTCTACACAGACTTGACCATCTACATTTTCGTCCCCACGATATATGTCAAGGTTCATCACAATATCGATTTTCAGGGCCACAGAATGAATACTTTGAACCAGATTTATTTAATACATTTTAAATATAATAATTATATTCTTATATATGTTTGCAAATTATGAGTTTTTTTTTATGATGATTCAAAAAAGTAAAAAAAAAAGAGTGTAAATTACAATGACCCCCTATGATTAAGGGTGTCAATGGACCGGTTTTGGATTGGACCCCGTCTAGATCAAAATCAATTTGGACGGATTAGATGGACCAACAAGATACATTGGATTGGACCAATATGGTCCAAAATATTTTTTAGATTGGACTGGACCTGGTCCGTTCATAATAAATTTATATTGGATTGGGTTGGATTAAGCCAAATCTGGTCCATTGATATAATATAAAAATATAGGTGTCAATGGACCAGGTTTGGGTTGAAACAAATCTAATCCAAAATGAATTTGAACAGATTGGATGATTCAGGCATTGAATTGGATTGGTCCAAAATGGTCTAAAATATTAATTGGACTGGACTGGATCTGGTCCATTTATAATAGATTCACATTGGACTGGATTGGATTGGACCAAATCCAGTCCAATTGACACCCCTACCTATGCTATATGCTATAGGGTTAGTGACAGTTGTCCCCTTAAAACTTTCATTTGCAACAAAGATTCATCTAAACATTCATTGTGCATCAATACCACCCGATTGTAAGTCAGATGATGGAATGGGTTAAATATTTGAACTTTTTTATTTTCTATTTTTACCATTTTCTCTTAAATTCTAATTGATCCAAAAATATTCTCATTTTCTCTAGATGAAATCAGCTAAAATAACATTAATTATTTCACTTACGTAAAAAAACAAGTTTCTTTAAATTCTTGTTTCATTTCATTAACATGAATGTCTCTTTTTATTTTAAAATATAAAAATTATCCACTCCTTTCTCCAATAAATTTATATTTATATTTATTAGAAAAAACCTTTACCATTTTAACTTAATATTGAATCTAACTAAAAATCTGTACGGATCTATTGGAACATCTGGGAAGACTTTAATATTATATTTAAAAAATGTATTGAATCATGAATCATTTAAATAAATAACAAAATGGTAGTTTGAAAATTAAAAAATTTTTTAACAGCTGAATGGAAATCTTTTAGGAAGTTAATAATTGTCACTGATCTTTGTAATTTACCAAAAAATAGTATCATGGTGTTTACATGCTCAGCAGGCTGCAGCATATAGATATTGTCGAGCATATATTAACAATTTAGCACATGATGAAGACATCTAGTGACATTCTATTTATGCTTCTCCTGTAAATATAAAATGTTAAAAGTTGCCACTTTATGGGAGATGCAAGATATTTGAGAAGAGGGCAAGAAATTAGCGGATTTATTGTAAGGCTAAAGACCTGTTAGTTGAAATTGGGTCCTGTCGGGTCAGACTCGATAAGAGCTGGCTTGGCTCTGGCCCCTGGGTCTGTTATTTAAGGTACAGACCCTAGATCAGGGTTATGTTTTTATTGGGAATGGATTTGGTCTACCCTTATGTTCTAGATCCGATCCACTGTACTTCTAAATAAGAAGAAAATTATTGTATCTTGTATGCATAAGTTTCACTTGGATGGTGGAATGTACCTTGTGTTATGCAAGAATTAAAATATCAATACAAGATAATCGGTATTACATGTACTGTATCTATATCAGTGAGACTCTGAAATGCATGATACACCGATACAAATAGGGTTAGGGGGGGTTTTGAAAGTTAGGCTCAGTTTGGGAGGAGTACAAATGTAAATATGTATAATACAAATATATACAAAATATAAGATTTTGCACTCTACTTATTTGCATTTGTGCTCCTTCCTAATTGAGCCTTAGGAAATAAAAAAAACATCACTCTTTTCACACATTTAAAACAAAAAAAAGAAAAAAAAAAGAAAGAAAACAAGAGTATCAATGATATCGATACCCTTTTTTGGGCATCAGGCATATCAATATATTATGATGATTGTGTTATGTGACGTTTATCAGTTTTTTTAGTATACCTGCACGGGGGACGGTTGCCTATATCAGGCTGTGTTGACAGTATTAGCAATGTATCTATCAGTCTGTATTGGGCAATACTCATTGAGATAACAATGCCATATTTTGGTGTCATTCTAGTGGTTTATGCTTTATATTTCACATACACCATTAATTTTTTTACATAATTCTTCTACCACTTCTTTGTATAATCGAAAGAGGAGCTTGTGGAGACCAAGGGTCTCTCACCACAGGCGGATCTCCCCTTCTCTGCACACATGTGAAATATTAAAAGTAAAGAATTTAACAGAATAAAAATAGGAAAATTTTTGAAACCTCCTCTGAACTTTGGTAATTGCAATCATTTTCTCTAAATTTTTTGACACAGCTGCAAGTAGAACCTTTTTGTTAGAATCCTCTAACAAGAGTCTTGAAAACGTCCAAAATACTCATGCATTTAACATCGAGGCCGGTTTATATAGAAAAAAAAACAATGCAAACTTTATGATCAACTAAAAAACAGAGTTTAAGGTTGCAATTTTACTTTTGAGTGATTGATATGAAGGTCACATTTGAAAAATAAATCAAATTTGGAAAAGATACGGGAAGGATTTGGTGCAGCAATTGATATAAAAAGAAATTTTGGAAAATAAACATTTTGATTGAAAGTAACTGCATGGATATCTTGGATATTCATGCCTCTTGTTAGAGGTTTCTAACAAGGGGGGTGTACTTGCAATTATGTTAGAAAGTTCAGGAAAGGTTTCAACAATGGTCAAAAACTTTAAGGGAAGTTTTAACAATTTATCCTAAAAATAAAAGTTTTAAATTAACTATCTTAATTTAAAGTCTTATAAATTTCAATATACAAACATGTCTCCTAATAAAACCACTTATATCTTATAAATTTCGATATACAAACATGTTTCCTAATAAAAGTTTCTCCCCTCCGCCTTCAATAATCAACGTTTGCAACATCTCCCCTCTCCCCTTAATCCCTACCCACCTGTTAAATATCTTTGAAACTCTTTTGGCCCCACATGTCTCCTCATAAAAAATCCTCGTGTCTTAATTTTCAATAGTAAAGTCCATCATTATTGTTCTCTAATAAAATCATCCTTAATTCTCCTCCCCCTTCTTATTAAATCCTTATTTTTTATTAAATATCTTTGAAACTATTTTGATCCTCTAATAAAACAAGGGTATAAATTATAACGATTGGGCGGGTTTAAGGGCCAACCTTAGACCAACCTTGAACATGGGTTTTGGTCTGGAATCAAATTATGTCAAAACCTAAATGCACCAACCCAAACGTAAGCAAATTTCTATTCAACCCCATTCATTTGCATGAATTAACTTGCTAATATTTTAATAGTTTATATTTTATATTCCATTTAAATTATTAAAATGTGTTTCTTTTGTTTTTAAAATAGTTTATACTTTAATCATCTCATTGCATCTATGCGTTTCTTAAGTGTCTGTTTGGCATTGATGTTGTTGTTCTAGAAAATAGTGACACATCAATGCCACGTTGGAAAAAAAACGGTGCTCTAGGAAACACCTGTTTGTTTGGAACCATTTTTCTATAAAAAACGGTGCTCCAAGTCAAGCCTTGGAAATTTAGAAGGCGTGGTTTGGAGCAACGCTGAATTTGGCGTTTTCTCAGATTGTACCTCGTTATTGTCAACGAAGATGTGATGTGGCTGTAACATGGATTTCCTATAAAGGGTACCAGTGCTGAAAACAAACATGGAGCACTAGTACCAAACAGAAAGTGTTGATGTTGCTCCAAGAAACATCCTACATGACAGCAACGCTTCCAAACAGAAAAAAGACACAACGGTGTTGTATCTACAGCATCGATGCCAAACATATACTAAATGTATGACTATTCTGATGCATGTTAGTCCCAATAGTTGAAAGCAATGCATTGGGGACACTCACTAGTTTGGGCATTCTCTAAACATGGTGTAAATGGAAGGAGTACAAATGCAAATATGTAAAGTGTAAAACCTTATATTTTATATTATTTTGTATGTATTTATGCTGTTTATATTTGCATTTGTACTCTTTTCAAATACATAGAGTGCAAAACTTTGTATTTTTTATTATTTTGTATGTATTTACATTGTACATATTTGTATTTGTACTCTTTTCAGACTGAATCATAATTTGGATTTGTTATTTCAAATTTCACGTTTCACTTTAGTCTCAGTTTGGGAAGTGTATTAATACAAAGATGTAGAGTGCAAAACTCTACAGATGCTCCCTTGATTAATATTTGATATGGGACAATTTTACATTCCAAACTGTACAAAAGCATTTACAGTCTATAAATTAAGGAAAGAAAATTTAAAAACAAGACAAAAAACCACTCTCAATTTCTGTCCTTGCTAGGCAAAACTGTCTCTGCATTTGTATATTTTTTTATTTCTTTACTTTTGTTGGACCCCATAATCACTAACAAAATCCAAACATCTAGTGACCACAATATATTGCTGGTCACGTTCATCCATCCGCATATTAAGAATATCTCTTGTATTTTATATTCAATGTATTGTATGAGCGTATTGGAATTCATTTATTCTCTTGTTCTGGACTTTGTAACAGACATTTCAAATGACCAATGCTAACCAACAAAACAGATAATATAAACTAAAAAATTAAATAAATAAAAGGATTAAAAAGTTAGAGAAAATGTGCATAATAAAATAATATATACCTCAGAAGATTTGAACAAGAAAATATATCTTATTATCTCCAACTTTAGCACAATTT